TGTCGTCTTGGCGCAACTATTCTGATTGGTCACTACCAAAGAAAAGGAGTTTCGTTTTAGCAAATATACACTCATCTGCAAACTAATTTGGCTCTTTGGAGAGACTCACCTGGAACCCAGCTGAATCTCTCGTTTATGATGTTCTCAGGCAACTGAACGTACTGCACCAGGCCGCCTCATGTTTCGTTTTACTTGAGCCGGTGCATTTCATTGGCCGTACCGGAATTCGACCTCCAGACATCTGACGCGAGCGTGTTGACACTGGTCCACCGGTTCAGGCTGTATGTAATTGAATTCCCTGGCCTAAACAGGTCAGCGTGTTCACGAGAGAGCAATGTGACTGGCTAATACAACGGTTGATACCGAGTCATCGCTCGAGGCGCTGGATCAACCAGTCACATCGATCAAGCGTGAACATGTTCGCCTCTCTTCAGACGTAATAAATCTACCCTGTACTGGTGGAGTCTTCAAAGCACGTTCACCACGCACACCAGACGTCCGACAATTGAATCCAGGCACGGCCAAAGAAATGCACCGCACCCGATAATCGATTGATCGGTGCTTAGGTATTATGTCATCCGAAAAAAACCATGAGGGCTGACATACCATCGAATCGAAACCGCAGTTTGATTTGGACTACGGATCTTCCGGTCAGTAAGTTCATGCCTTAACCACCCCCCGGTTTTGAGGAGCTCGTTTCCTCGAAGATTAGAAATATTCGTCTCCTGGAAAGATTCTCCGCCACGGGCTTCCCTGTTGATGATTGTTTTATCCAGTGAGGAGGAGTGGGCGAGAAAGAGGCTCATAAGGGGAAATAGCCGTCATCCGAAAATGTGGGCAACATTGTCTCGGGCTCCACGAGTCCGTGCTGCTTAAGGGTGAGTGACATCGTATTCTATCTAAATGCAAGCTGACCATAGTGCAGACCAGTTGCATTGGCGAAAAATCGTGTACCCACTTCTTATAGGAGTGTCGAAGCCTTCGCGAGATCAGTAAGAATGACGATAATGATAATTATCGTTAACAAAGAACAGTGGCAAAACCTGTCTACGGTTGCTGCGCAATGAGAAACGTGTTCCTGCTATAACATCCTTTTGGTGTCTAGCTGCCATGCCACCCGAAGGAACGACGAGGATGAGGATATTGACAGGTTGTCCAAGCCTAGACAGGAGAAGTCAAGATGCAGAGGCCGGGTACGAACCACGGACCTTCCGGTTAGTGAATTCGCGGTCCAACCACTGAACTACCTCGCCTAGCTTTTGCATTCACATCAGCTGATTAAACATTGTTCTGAAGTCATCAATCCGCCTAAAATTGGTCAATCCGAAGTAAGGCCACTCCCTCGTAGGGTCCACGACGACCTACTAAGCAGCCATGATCTATTGTGGAACTCCTCTTTCCCTTCACGGAGATAGATTTTCCTCCAGAACTCTTTCTCCTGTGGTGTTCAGTTGTTCGGAGATCACTGTGCTGTTAAATTGGAGGGTGAGATCAAGCACTGAGTTGGCAAACGCTCGATTTCACAGAAAAGGCCCGTGTTACAAGGCTTTCAGAACATCCATTTCTACAGAGCATTTTAGCAGTTTTCTCTAACCAGTGGATGAAATCTACAACGAGAGTATAAATTTTGTTCTCAGTACGTTAGCCAAGTTCAAGTAGAGCTACGACGAAGTGGAAATACTGTCTAAGCTCGCGGTTTACAAAATACCGACGTTCTTGAAATCTATGAATAAGGAAGAAACTTGAGAACAGGTGCATACCTTTTGGACTGGCGTACGGATAGAGCTGAGACCAGGGAACTTTCGGTTTGAAAGGTAACTGCTCAAGGTAGGCTCGCGCCTGAAACATGGCAAAACGACAGTGAAACGAATGAAAAGGGACAGTGTGTATTGCGAACCAAATAAAAAAAATACAGTTGCCATATTCGTGCAGTAAGGAGAAAGAGCAACTGAGGGTACTTGAAAACAAGCCTGAAACGCAAACAAAGTCAAATTTTTCGCACAATTCTGGAGCCCTGACAGGACAATTACGGACAAATTTATGTCAGCCGACGATCAAACATGGGCACGGACCACTCAGAGGTATCAGTACGAGAAACTACAATCAGTTGGACAAATAAGGCAAGTGAGGGACTGTGAGGAGTGCTCCTTAGAACGTCTACTCAACCGAACTCACACAATGTTATTTTTGACAAAAGGTGATCATCAAACAGTTAAAAAAATTTAAAAACTATGATTCACATATCCGTTACAGTTAGGGGCGATGCACTGAAACAGTGTCCTGCATGATAGTGCGACAGCGCTTAACCTAAAGACAATTACAGACAGGACAACCCAACAACAACAGGACAACCGCTGTCAATGTCCTCGTGGCGCAAAACACTGTTTCAGCAAAACCAGCATTGAGCTTTTATGTATTGATACAGAAATTCGGTGTCCGAACCATTGTACGAAAACAACTTTGTCCTTTTCATAATTGGTCAGCGCCCCCAGTTCGTGATTTTAGTCTGTATGGTAACGAGTATTACGATGACTCCCTTTCAGATGATACCACGTTTAGTTGGCCCTTCATGAGTAGCAGTTAGGTCTTCACTAGAGGAGACGAAATATGGAAGGGAATAAGCTCGGATGGGCATTTGAAAACAGCTTTTACAAGGGGGAATAACATTCTTACTCCAGCAGGCTCACTTCAGCAGTTGTATCTCTTAGGAATGTGACTTTTCAAAAGGACACAAATGTACATTTGTCTCCTTTCAAAAGGTCACTTCAAAGGACCTACCGAAGCTGTGTTGGTTGGTACATGTGTTGCGCATACCAAACCATCGTTTGCCGATGAGAGTGCTGTTTTCCATGCCCAATTCAGAGTGGTGTAGACAGAGAGGTGGCCAACCCCTCACTTGGCAGAGGAGTATGAAGGATATCACGAAACGCTTGGGTGCTGTCGGTGCTACTCGCCTTCCAGGATGGGGACCGCGTGATCCTCACTGTGCCTGGTTGGATATGGTTGCCAACCGATGTCAGTGGCGTTCTTGTTGTCCGTTTCTATCCAGATTGCCTGAGTGAATGTCTGGAGGCGTATGCCCCTCGCGATGAGTGTGGTAAGCTAGCACCACCTTTACTCTTTTCTTTACAATAAGGCTTTCAAATAAATCATGGTTGTACGGCAGTGAAGCATCGGTGTTTAACACTGATGTTATGCTGTCGATGATGATGATGACCTACCGAAAGCGTCTTTACTATGAGCTACTCTTTTCTCGAGGGGTGGGGGGAATTTTTCGGAAAATGTTTCACAAACCAAACAAAGCCGTCTTTCTTGATGAACGATCACTTCGCAGGGGGACAGCTAAAAACGACAGCTTTCGGGGATCACCATAAGACAGAACTCCAAATCGAACTATCGGTTGATGATGCCGCAAGCAATCAGGGATGCCATACCCTATCAAACGGTTAACATAATTAACAATGGGATGGTAATACACAAAAATAATTGTACTGTGGTAGTATCCCTTCCATGGCTAGCTTGGATGCCACCCGACAGAAGCACGAGGGCTGAGATAATGCCTGATTGCCCAAGCCTTGACAGCAGGAGTCAAAATACAGAGGTTGGGTTCGAGCCACGGAACTTTCAGTTGGTGAGTAAGCACTAAGCTGTCTCGATATCATCCACATTATTCGCAGATTTGTTTACATCGGTGTTTCAGCTTTGTATCGCCTCTTTGAGGGCAGTTTCAAACCAATGTACTGGTCACTGGCGTGAAATTACTCGAAAACGACTGCTCCGCTTGTTTAAGCTTCTTAACGCACGCGAGATGATCCTTAGAACTTTGGTGATTTTACCAATCCTGGTAAAAACATACTTGATATCACAGAAGTAACAGTCCAGCTGTGATCGATGTATCTGCGCAATATTTGCCTTACGTTGATTGCCTTATAGGGTTGCTCTGAGGGGGGTTACCTCCCTCCGAAAAAACGAAGACTAGTTAGTTCAGTCCGAATGAGTGGTCTTCATTTGGTGGAGGGCCCATTGACTATTCGACCCACTCGATCAACATCGATACGTTCGTAGACTTTCTTCGTTACAGAACCTATACCTCTACAAATGACCGTGTCAATGAACAGAATGCAGAGCAAAAGAACTCTTCAAACTCTTTTTGATGAATTACATTAAGTTTCGAACAGCTCGAACGGGAGTCGATGAGCCCAGTAAATACAGCTCCCCTCCGAGGAGAAGCGTTCCGTGGATAAGTAGTGTCAACGACATTGGACTGCAACGAACCAGTAAACTGCTCACTGGTGTGTGCCCGCATCCCATGCAAAAGGGAATGAACAGAGGTGCATTCTTCGATGCACCCACTACTCATTACAGAATAGACGATACAGACCGACTTCTGAACTATGACAGTAGCTACGTAGGATAGCAAACCAAGGACTGTATTCAAGGACTACTTAAGCGGAGTTGAGTATATCGCAGCATACTGCGTCCAAGGAACAGACCCGTCTTTAGGAATAACTGTTACCCAAGAAAGTTCATTCAACTATCTCCCAGTAGCCGCAAATCGACCATTTTGACTGCACAAGAGGAAGTGAGGAGAACCATCCTTTCAAAAATCAAAGACATTCCAAAAATTCTCTCAAGAAGACTGCACCCCTAAAACGAACGCACAAAGGAAAGCTTTGTCAAACGCAGGAAAGACAAGTAAAAACGGCGAGGAAGGCTAGCGTCACACAGGAAATTCGGTTGGACGGCTGCGAGAAACACAACTGGATGGAAAATATATAACAGAATTCATAGCTATCAGTTGGCCGATTGACCAATTGCCGATGGTTTCCGGACAAAAGTTTCCAGAAGGACATCAGTTCAACCTACGGACACTAGGTCAAGTAGGAGCAAGTTGAGAAGGCGGACATTTGGAGGTTTGCTACTCTACATAAAAGGCAATTAGCAAGGGTTGTTATTTATGCCGTATAGCAACTAGCGAGATCACAGAAAACCCAGGACAGTTGCATGTGAGGGCCTTGGAATAGTCAAACGAGGAAATTAAAGAAAAAAACAATGGATGATGAACACAACAAATGAACAGATGAAGCACCACAAACAGATCTACAGAGTGCGGTCAGAACAATGGAAGCAACCAGACAAACCAAAGAAGTTCCACATTATACCGAGAGATACCTAGAGATATCAAATAAAACCACCAAAATGACAAATGGAAACTACTAGAATGATGCTGTTGGGTGAATCAAACAGCTTCGAGAGCAGAACACAGAGCATCACATGTTTGAAGTGTACAAATAAGTGATAATTAGACCACCATAAAAACGCAAGTAGGGTTGAGTGAAATACCCAATCGGCAGCGCACTTGGCATCTTCTCGGATAATGACCAATGGCAAAGGTCATGGGGAAAGTTAGCGAAAAATAAACCCACGAAAATTACTAAGATTCCAAAACACCATGGTAATTTTGTGTTCTCACTGAGTCTACAGAACATGTATTCACTGATGAGACAACTAATAACGGGGTAGCCGGGTTGTTTCATCATCATCATCATCCAAATCATCATCATCATCATCATCATCATCATCATCGTTGTCAGCTGTAATAACCGCGTACTCGTCCTACAGTGGTTATAGCTGACACAGTTTCGTTCACCGATGATTTGGGGGGGGGGTAGGTAGCTGGGCATTACAGGCGGGAGGTGATAAATTGGTGCATAAATCCAGCACTGTCAATGGGCTGTCAAGTGAGGGGGTTCGGAAAAGGAGCTGTGCATTGAAGGCAGTAGCTTGGATGCACGAGCGCCATTGAGGGCGCGACTGGGCCATGTCTGACAATGTCTCTAGCCATTGATGTGGCCCGTCTCACGGTGCCCATCCAGGAAGACGGCAGTGACCAGCGCAGCTGGATTTGCTGGTAATGGTCTTCATACTTCGCTGCCAAGTCATTGTTTGACCGGCAACCTGTGATCAGTCCATCCATCGAGGGTGAGTTATTTCTCCCGAATACCATTCGACGTATTTCAGAATTGCTGATCCGGTGTTCCCACCAGATTCGGGCAATGTTCCGAAGACATCGATGGTCAAACACTGAAAGTCTTTTGACGTCCTCGGCGCGCAGCGGCCAAGTTTCTGATCCGTATAGTAATATGGAGCGCACCGCAGCATTGTAAACTCGACCCTTGACAGAGAAGCTGATGTCACGCCTACGCCACAGGTGACGCCACATTGTTTGGGGAACAACGTCCGACACATTGTGACCGTTTGGGTTCACAGGAAACTTGGTGAATACATCGCGCGCAACTGAAATGGTTAGCCTCTATTTAAAGATCTTACGAACTGGATATCGACTCACAAGCTTCTAAGGGTATACGAACCGGTTACTGCTTTCAAAGCCAACAGCGCAGATGAAGTCCATTTTGGTTCTTCAGCAACCGATAACTCTACCTTGGACATCTTCGCTGCTGTTTTCGATTACCACGGTCACAAACGAAACAGGAAGACCAGCAAGATGTTAAACGTCCGAATAAGCAGAGCCAATTTCGCGCAATGATGATGGGAAATGATTGCAGCAGTTTAAAAAGTGTCGCGCGTCAATGTATACCAAGAACTATATCACGGTGAACATCATTCGCGGATTTCAATGACAGGACTAGTCTAAAGGAGCGTTTTAACAGGCCCCTTGCAGTATAATGTAACGTGATGTTAGAAGCAATGAGACTGTGTGAAAAGGGCAGTTGCATCTCGATTACTTCTATTTAGGCTTGAGCGGTCTAGAAATACTTCGGCTTCCGGGCCTTTTTTGAGTGGTATGACAGCTACGGACCAAAAGGGTGTTGAGAGCTAAACGATTTTACCCAAATATAAAAGTAAATCGTTCAGCTGTAACACGCTTTTGGTGCCTGGCTGCCATGCCACCCGAAGAAAGCACGAGGGCTGGGATACTGCCAGGTTGCCCAAGCCTAGACGGGGCAAGTCGAGTGAGAGAGGTTGGGTCCGAACCACGAACCTTCCGGTCAGTAAATTCGCATTCCAACCACTTGAGCCGTCTCGCCCCGTTTTACCCAAAAGAACATATTCACCAACCTTTTGATTAATCTGCTACAGTATTTGATCAACGATCTCTTCCCATTTTATGGGTTCAAACCAGCAGACGGGCAATACAAGTCACGCACAAGCATAGGGACCGATCGATCACGAGAAGCGTTTCACTCATATGTGATAAAGATATGTTTACTAGAATTAAGCTTGAGAGCAAATAATTTTCGTCACCCTATTCACACAATAACCGATTTGACCTAGAATCAGACCAACATGACTGTATGTAGCAATTCAATAGCAATCAATTGGTCGTTCCACTGTATAATTGTTCGTATCCGATGATCTGGGCCAAAATGATCTGCTAGTCGCGACAGATGCGTGTTTGTCTGCGGCACGTCTTCTTGACCAGCGCACACTGTTCCATCCAGGTGCATTAGAGAAAAAAGACGGCAAACAGATCCGGGACCAAAAATAGAATTTTGTTGGGAAATTTCTCCGTGTGGTTAAATCTGACATGGTCGTATACGCTTGGTCTGAGTGTGGCGACGAAATTAAGTTCGCAGTTGGACAAGACTTGTGGCACTGCAAACCTGATTCACTAGCTCATTGTCGTTATAGGTCGAGAATCAATGAAAAAGTGAACACGGTCCGCGTCAACAGATGCATAATAATAGTGATAGTAGCACACTTTTTGTGCCTAGCTGCCATACCAGACGATGGAACCACCAGGGCTGAGATACCGCCAAGTTACCTGAACAGGAGAGCAGTGGAGATAACGGGGTTGGGTTCGAACCACGAACCTACCAGTTATTAAGCTTATGCCCTAATAACTGGGCTACCTCGCGCCCACCAAACACAGAGAGATGGAGGCTAAAACTACAGTAAAAAAATCAGTACTTTGAATTAGGACCTACATCTGACAAGTAACCGAGTTCTCTCTCATTGGATCATGTAAAGGTCCATTGAAGGCATTCGCCTTCATTTGAAGACCAGTGCTCATCACAAAGAATGAAACGTATCTATTTTAATCATCGCTTAAACAGATGAGCAGTGATGGAATGAAGGCAGTTGAAATGGTATGAAAGATGCTCTCTAAAGGGGATTTAGTCTTCTATCGGTTTCACCATTTTTGTGGCCTATCTCACTACTTACTTGTACGTAGTTTGCGACAAACGGTCGGGAGACTCAGCTGAAATGCATCTGGATCGCCTGTTCATAATATTCTTCAATTGAATACACCTCCTCAGGTGTTAGTTAGAATGAATAATACAGCTGAGGAATTCGGCTTACATTCAACCTCCTGACGTACCACCATGCTTCGTTCCCCACAAGGCATTGATTATATCGCCTCGATACATGATGAGACGCTCGTAATCAAATTGCTTAGCTCATTGAAAGAACTAACGATCATCAGATGAACCTACCCTTTATGCCTGGCACAGATGACTGGAAAACTCCACTTACACACGAGTTCCTGTTCAACTGGGAACTTGATTGAAACCCGGGCACTACAACTACCAGTAGTGAGCTGTCAAAGAGCTCTCATACAGTATATGGGTGGATCTTACCTTCTTCAATAGACCTACAACACAACAGTGTACTCATCGTTGTCCGAGTCATTAACAGGTCATTTCTGGACTTGATCGTCCTTCTTTTCAATTGTTTCACACAGATATTTTCGCCAAATATGGTCAAGTAATAACTGACGGTGACTGCTGCCTCAAGGATAAATCCACACCATCTTTGGAGGTGTTCTTCTCCCGGGCTCAAAATCATGGTCTGTTAGCACAACTACTGCATTCTTCACTGTTACCATCATCGAATTGTGCACAAGACAGCAAACGACTTCGTTTTTCTGACACTTCGCTTTTTGTCTGTTGATCAGTGCTCAGTACGGATCTGTTCTTCGTGCGACGCAAAATTTGACAACATTACATGGGAGAGAGCGAATGATACGGGAAATCGCGGGAACAAAAACACAGGTTAGTGTACTTTGAAAAGAAAATATGCCAAATTCCAAATGAATACCTGGATTTGGCCTACATTTCGTCAATCAATTTGAGCAGGGTGAAGCCAAAGTAGATTTAAGGTATTGGGGGAAGGAGACGTAGAATGGGGAACGGAAACAGCTCACACCGTTTCGATAATCACCACAAACTGACACAAGCAAAGGATAATAGGTGAAGCGTGAAAATAAATATAGCACGTCAATGGAGCCGAATTCACCCAACCAAACCAAAAAGAGCAGGTGCAATGTGATTGCCAAACAGTCTTTCACTAAAAATGCTTGTCTTAAGTGAGTAACCCGGTCGACTACGCGGAATCAAAGTGTAGAATGTCGAGTTACTGTCAACTAAACAGCCAGCCACAAGAATGTGTCCGATAATCGGTGGTCACATACAGTGGTCCTCTTTCTCAGAATTCGGCGAAGAGTAAGGTGTTTCTGAGCACTCACACAGAGCCATCCAACTGATCCCCGTTAGGGGGAACCGATGCACAAAATGCGACATTGAGAAAACGGACAGTGTTTTATGCGCGCAAAGTGCGATAACACGTGTACGCGTTGCACTGTTGTTCTTTTCATGGTGGTTTGTAGTCCATCGCTCAGCGTCAGATAGGCCCTCGTTCTCGGCACACTCTGGACGGGCTAATCCGGGGATTGTGCTTCGCGGCGACGTCCGATTAACGTCTCCAGACAGTTATTCAGTTGCCACTTCCTTTGCGGCAAGCTTTTCTTGATTACTGTGTCTCGGGAGTACAAATCAGATGGGCGTGATGAAGCAAGTTCCCTACGAGGAAGCATTTGTATTCAGTCGGAGGTAATACTCATCCGAAATAGATTTCTGTGATTTGAGCGGCGTAGAGATCCACCTGCATGTTTGGTTAATAGCACACTGAGAAACGTGAGTTCGTCCCTGCATACGGATCCAGATGTGAACTTAATTTCCAGATGAAATGAACTGGAATTTCCAGTCGTTCGCAAAAAAAACATCATCCAGATAGCCTTCATAGAGGAGAGCAATTTCCAGACGGATTCCAATTGCATCGATCAGATGAAGTGAACTGGAATTTCCATTCGTTCGCAAAAGAAACATCATCCAGACAGCCTTCATAGAGGAGAACAATTTCCAGACGGATTCCAATTGCATCGATCTGTTTTACCTTGAATATATCCGTTAATTTTGACCCTGGAGGCTGCTACCCGTCACCTCACACAGCTGACTATATACATTCCGATGGGAGTGTGTTTGCATAGAAAAATAGAACCCTCTTGGAATCGCTCTTGGAAACGTCAGAGGTCATTATATAGCCATATAATTTGTCAGCGATTCCATTGCAAACAAACAAATAAACAGAGGCTTCCCATCAAAAAAACTCATTACATAGCCTTCAGCGAGAGATATAAATAAACTGAAATGTCCTTCAAACTGATAGATTCTCAAAAATCTATAAACCTGACTTTATGAACGTGACGCAAACTGTCAGTCACGCAAGAGTAGAATCTCCAACTCATGGGTGACTCGTTTCCTAGTTACGTATCAACTGACGTGCCTTGGAAGATGCATGCTGAGCGCACATACTCTATTATGGTGTTATACGCGTTTTGATTGACGAAACTCTGTGATTTTTGTTGTCAGCCTGAGTGAATTTGGAACTTTGACGAATACGGAAATAGCGCGCACCTACAGAGATGACGGAATAAGCCCCCGTATACAACAAAATCTTCAAGAGCAGTGTCCTGGCTGATGTCGGTGAGTAGGGGTTAACACGAACGCTGTATGGTGACACGAGTTCCTAAACGCAGTGAATATCGTATTTTTTCGTAAAGACCAAGTAGGACAGAACAAAACAGAGAAATGCGCACCGTTGACGATCTTTATTAGGGATGAAACAGCTACGGCGTGTTTCTAGGCTTTTCAGCACAGATTGGATTCACTCACAGGATAAAAAATATCAATTGAAAACTGTGATCTGTCCGAGACGAGTGTAGGTTCATGATGCTCGTCCAGCAACGCGGAACTGGATAATATCACCTGTCATAGCCGCTTGTCTACGCGGCGTCGTACACGCTGTTTCCGCTAAGCCATACCGACGCTACTTGACTCAGTATATAAAATCAGAATGCATTGTGCTACACGGTATTCTCTCCCAACCAGCTACTCGCACTGAATGTTTTGTGTTGCGTCGTACGGACCAATAGGTGCTCGTGCTGCACAGGTGACTAGGAAAAGTCCAATGGAATCTTTAAAAAACTGCAAGAATTACATGGCACGCAGACATTGAGGTTGGTTTTCAAGGGCGGGGATTTCAGCCAGTCCCAAAGGATTTCTCGCCAAAGAGGGATTAAAGTACTAATCAATCGCTTTTGCGGAAACACAAGACTTCACCTCTATCTTTGTACGACCCAGAATATGACGTATCGTCCAATGCTGTCTGTCCCTTCTAGGTTGTTAGAGGAGAGTATCATACCAGCTTAGGCGTCATCGCAATCGCTTTCGGACTAATTGGGAATACGGGACACTTGAAAATGTTAATCGCTGGTTCGGGACTAGTAAAAAAGTGAGCAGAAAAATGGGAGGTGCTTTACCTAGTTTAATAAGTTGTGCAGCTCTGACTGAAACAATCGATGGCGGGAAAACCTGGAATTTGCCACTTTATAGACGCGGCTAAATCAAACAGTTCTGGCGCATAAAACAGTGGCCCACGGTTTGAATGGACGGATGAAGTTCGACAAGGTGAAACAAGTTTAGAGCAACAGTTAATCCCTAGGCATTCGAATGACGTTGCTATCGTGCTTTTCAGACAGAATGCGTGTTAGTATCGCATCAAAGTATGCTTGGCTGATTGCCCTTTGATATTGGGTTGGCAATGTCTGATAAAACCAATTCAGACATTTTCATAAAGGAAACTACTCACAAGGTTGCTGAAAAACCTTCGGCAGCCCACGACCGGTTTCGCCCTTATTGGGCTCATCTGGCAGGCGCAGTTCCCAAATTGATTGGACTGTTTTCGAGAAATCCACTCATTTGCAAATCAACTTGGTTTCCACGGGAGACTTAACTGAATCTCTCTTCTATGGTGTTCATCTTTCTTCGTAGGACATCTAATCGTGTCCGACGGGAAACATTGCTTTGGACTGTCCAAGTTGGCGGCCCGGAAAATTCAATAGGTTAGTTTGATCCTGACGTGAGAAGTTCCACTAGTCATAAAGCTCCAGTCTATGGGCAAAATCAGGTGCAAGAAATACTGCAATCCTTGTTACCTACAAAGTAGCATCTCTTCAAAGGCAATCCGATGAGTGAATACAAATATGCAAGCCGTCTTTCAATCTTCCCAGATGTCAGCACAGTGGTTTCTTTGCTACGGTAGGCACGTGAGCTCCAGCCACGAATGTGTTTACTGTGAAGCTTCGGCACTGAAAAATGTTTTAGAAATCATCCAAACCTGTCTGGTAAATCGTCACTCACAGTGGACCACCCTACGTTGTCTAAATAATTTGCCGTTGAGAGACGTCTTATCTTGTCTCAGTATAGAGTAACTACACCACTAATCAGTCAGCTCTTGATAAAAGTAGCGGGCTTGGATTATTCTGAGATGCGCACCGCAGGCGATTCTAAGCAATTTGAAGAATCTCTAAACTACTTCTTTGCTCGTCGGCTATTTCAAAGGACTTTGCACAAAACCGAAAGGAACAAACCTTGTAGTTGCTGATCGATTCCAAGTCACCTTTGCACGGGGATCCAAGAACTTCCAGAATTAAGTTCAGCTGATCGATATCTAATGTGCGTGTGCATAAGGAGTTTGCCAGGAACAATGAAATAACAAACTGAGTGTTGGGAGAATCGCTACGAATCGATTGGACAAAACATGAAGGTTCACTTGACGGAGTTTTGAAAAGAACAACGCTTAGCCGGAAGCCTGTTGCTCTAGTCTCTTGCCAGAGAAGTCGGCAGCAAACGCGACTATCCCCCGACTCTCGGGCAGCACGCGACATCATCTAGCTATTGTGCTTTCGAATGCGGACATGTTATGTTCCCGGTAGTAAGCAGGACCGAGGGATTATCAACCTAGTTGGTACTTCGTCTTACTGAACATTAGGAAGTGACCGCTGGGCCAGGAGTTGGTTTATTGGCTCAAACATACGGGGGCGAGATGGCCCAAGTGGTAAGAGCGCGAATTTACTGACCGGAAAGTCCGTGGTTCGAATACGACCTCCGCCTCTCGACTTCCCCTGTCTATGCCTGGGCAACCTGGCAGTGTCCCAGACCTCGTGACTCCTTCGTTTGGCATGGCAGCTTGACACCGAAAGGGTGTTACAACTGGCCGATTTTTTACATACGGGAAGTGGTTTCAGTTGAAATAAATGAGGATCAGGCAATCCTCAGTTGACTGGAGTTTACTGCTAATTTGAATTGAATGAATTCCGCTTGTACTGAGGGATTAGCTGGGTCATCTAGTTGCAAACGTGATCCTCGTCAGAACACAAAGAGGTACTATTTATGATATGCTTCAGGGTAGCCATATTAGTTTCAACTTGTCTGTTGGTAACCTAGGCTTTTTACGCGCAGCATTATCCCACTAGAATGACAAGACAGAGGAAATTGACGAGACTACCGGAATCGAACCATGGTACAGGAGTCAATTACCGTTTGTCATCGCGCAAAAAAACTTGTTTCAAGCGCCAGTTATGCACTCCATCGCTATTTTCCGTACAGTACGCTTTGATGCAGCCGTCATTTTAGCGACTGTGGCAATGCCCACTAGTTTCTTGGGTCGAAAGTGAGGAAATCGTGAACAGCGAACTATCGCGCCCGTAAGCTGACCTGAATTTCCAAACTGACACGTACATACAGGCGGGAATAAGGGTCGATCATACATTGTAGGGAGTGATTAAAGTACGAGATCGCTGTTAGGTGTGCGATTGGGCTATGACTAATCGACTGTTGATGACTAGTGTCTTGGAAACGACGTCCAAGAACCCGACGGCTGCCAACAGACTGAGTACGTCCATTACCGATCACCTTGCGCTTCATGAGTCGTTTCCACTTGCTAGTGATTATTCAAGACCATGTGCCAGTTAGGATTTGAGGGACTTGATAATGCCAATGCAATCTATGGAAGGGTAGCAGCTCGTCTTCTGAATGTTAGGTAAAAAACCGCTCAGCTGTAGCACTCTTCCGGTGCCTAGCTGCCATGCCACCCGAAGGAAGCACGAGGGCTGGGATACTGCCAAGTTGCCCAAGCCTAGACAGGGGAAGTCGAGAGGCGGAGTTCGGGTTCGAACCACGGACATTCCGGTCAATAAATTCGTGCTCTTGCCACTTGGGCCATCTGAGAAAAACAATTTGACTTATCTGAACATTGGTAATCATGTATTCCCAGAAAAAGCAGGCATTGTGGCTAGAATTGTGGTCTTCATTATGGAGCAATACTTCGTAAACGTTATCCTTGGCAGGTACGATGGGACAACAATAGCCGAAGTTGGTTGCTACGAGCCGCCTACACCTGGGCTCAATGTGAACTTCAAGTGTTGCGCTAAGTGAGTGCGCGAAACCTCGGAGAGCGACAAATCAGTTAGGATGCAGGTTGATGCATGATTACCCTTCCTTAGGTAATTGGCTTCGTACATAGGAGGCTGTCAGCTCCAGTAGGAGAGTTTCGTTCGTCTGCCCTCATAACGGGTCTTGAGTTGTGCCAGTGACAAGTTTAGATCAGGCTAGTGTTACTAGGATCCCACAAAGATCAACCTTAATCCAGACACATTCCCCAGGGTGTCACAGCGGTTGTGCACGCGGCTCTCAAAGCGTGCTCATACTTAATCCTTGAAAGAGAACAAGGATAAGTATCACGTACCTCATTGTGGGGTATAAACTCCCGAACGTGTGGCTCATCGAGAAGCATAGTACCGGTTAAGTCCGAAAGCCAGAAGGCTGTTTTGAAAAACGTGAAAGATCACAATCGTTAAAAACCCGCAGCAACAAACGGATAGTTCAGTCTTGAGTTGGGCTCATCAACTGTGCACATCTCCGGGATGCTCGGACGGAGTTTGAACGTTCCGTCTGTATCCCAGCCGAATCGTGACAGGAAAAATCTACATCTGTCCCTGAGTTTTGAAGCTTTTCTCACATTCTGCAAATGAAGTGCGTCCCTCGCTGGCGAGCATGCCCTTGAACAGGTGGTCCAGCTCCCTGGAGTTCAACCATTCGAGAAGGTAACGCATGGGTGCAAATAGGAAAAGTAAAACTACGATCCAATGTAGTGTGACATCTGTCACGAGTGGGTTGGAACAACCCCGAATTGCCCAGAATGGGAAATAAGTAACTCAATGGCTAAGAATGATCCGTCTTTCCCACCCGATGCACGCCCCACAACAATGCCGATCATTCAAGTAATAAATTTGATCGATGCAACCCTGTCTCGAACTGACGGCTTCGCTTAATTTATTAGTCCAACAAGGGGTGATGTGTCTGTGAAAACACTCCCGTGGGGGACAAACTGCAGACGTATCTATATCGTCAAATTAAACCATGGGAACCAGGAATTTTAACTGCAATGATTCACGCAACTCTCATGACCTAACGGTTCGTGCTGGAGAGTACTTAGGATAGGAGGAAAGGGAAGAACAGTGAAAGATATGGGTCGGTTTTGAAGCATTTCGAAATCACAGAAGCGCCTTCTCTCTCTTGACACGAGAGCCAATCTGAGTTTGTTTATTTGTCCTGAGTGGATACAGACAGATGAGGACGGGCGATGAGGTTTGACTGCGTTGATCGCTTCGTCCTATTCCGGACAAGGCCCTCAAACATGAGCTTACCTTTTCACTCCCTGCAGACGTGGTTCGCATAGGCCAGGCGAACTACCATCCTACTGATTTTTTAATCCGCATCGTAAGCTTGGAGGTTCCAACAACACAATAAGTGGTTGATACTTGTTTACTTCACACCAGACGCTTCCTAGTCCGAAAGACAGTTTGTAACGACAAAATATTTCGATCCACCATCCAGACTGGCGCATAGATGCGAACGGGTGTTCATCGTCCTTATCCTGATCGATTTCGTCTTGGCGCTTCCTAGTCCGAAAGACGGTTCTTAACGACAAAATATTTCGATCAACCATCCAGACTGGCGCGTACATGCGAACGGTTGTTTATCGTCCTTATCCTGATCGATTTCGTCTTGACTATCCAGTTCGACTGAATAGAACATCTCAGAATTCCCGCGGTGGGCTAACAGTAGGCAGCTCTCCTTCCCTTTGTCCAGCATTACTCCTCACGTTAACGATAAGAATACTACTTACAGAGGATACAGTGTTCCGGGTCTGTGAAGTACGGCCAACACATTTCTTATTCTCTGGAGGTACGACTTATTTGTCACTATGGGAAATTAACATGTGCCTAGTAGTAGTGGTGATTGATGTGAATAGATTACTCGAGGATAGCGAAAATGAGGAAGGTAAAAGTGTAACCACATGAGTCATTAAAGAGTTATAGTACATAAAATAATGGGCTGAAGTTGGAAAGATCTGATTTTTGGTCTGATTGGATAATTGGACAGCGGCGCACTGAAGGTGATGGCTTTGGGGCTACGTGATCATACGATGTCTGGAAGCATTGACAATCACGGAACTGTCTTGCCACGGACTCCAAAGAAGTAGAAGCGAGTGACCAGCATGAGTGAGCTTCCCGTTTAGCCCTTCGTCAACACCAGCTACGGGCAGTGTTCAGTGAGCCTGTAGACAGACCTTCTTTCTGGGGAAAAATTCTAGGGGAAAAATCATGGCTGATTGTAAATATCATCATGGCCTCTCTTCGGATGAGTCCCTTGCTTGCGGAGTACACTATAAGGTGGAGGTAGACGACGGGTCCGATTCAGGCTACTAGATACTAACAACAGCGCGAGATTCAGTTGACCGTCGTTCCTAATCGTACGCACGGCGAATATCGGGGCGCAGAGGTGTGGCTCGTCAGTGAACCTAAAAATTTACGGGTTGTCTTTGAATTGTCAAACAGTTCGTTTCTGGACAAAAGTGTTTATGCCACATTCTGTCAAATCCACGAGTTCGGCCGCATAACATACATGGCGTACCAAGAGTTGCACATTTTTATCATCATCATCATCATCATCATTGTCAGCTGTAATAACCGCGTACTCGTCCTACAGTGATCATAGCTGCCGCAGTTTCGTTCAACGTTCAACGGGGCGTAGGGAGCTGCGCATTACAGGCGGGAGGTGATAAATTGGTGCATAAATCCAGCACTGTCCGTGGGCTATCAAGTGGGGGGATTGGGAAGGGACATATGCATTGAAGGCAATAGCTTGAATGTACGAGCGCAATTGAGGGCGTGATTGGGTCATGTCTGACAATGTCTCTAGCCATTGATGTGGCCCGTCTCGGGGTCCCCATCCAGGAAGACGGCAGTGACCAGCGCAGCTAAGTTTGCTGGTAATGGCTTTCATACTTCGCTGCCAAGTCATTGTTTAACCGCCTCTGGCTCTCTTCCACCCTTCACGTGGTTGTGGGAAAAGAGCCCTTCGAGGAAGTCGGTCGACTGGCATACGCAGCACTTGGCCAATCCAGCGCAACCTATGCATTGTGATCAGTCCATCCATCGAGGGTGAGTTATTTCTCCCGAATGCCATTCGACGTATTTCAGAATTGCTGATCAGGTGCTCCCACCAGATTCGGGCAATGCTCCGAAGACATCGACGGTCAAACGCTGAAATCCTTTTGACTACGAATTGCAAGTTCTTGCCCAGCACCGAAACGAAGCGAAGCTCTTCGTGATTAATCACATTCTGCCACCTAGTACTAAATTAGTGCCAGCACAATGAAACTTCTACTCATGACATAATCCAACGTAATGTCGTGAGGAGATATCGGCGCTGAACATCGAAAAAAAGGTGAATGCTAGTGAAGTAATGTGACGGAAAGCCATAAGCCACACACGCACACAATGCCAATTCTGTTCGATTCCAACGGTACTGAAACCCATTTGCCTCACACAAACTTACGGCGAAATCATGAAGTCCCATTTGGCTATTTTGGGAAAGTCAATGAGTACGGACGCTGGAACAGTGTTCCAAATGGAAGAGACGTGCCCGATCAGGGACCTATGTCAACTTGAAAGGGAAGCATATTACGTGGAAGGGCAAGATGTGGGTCAGTGTTCCAAACTGCAGAAATACGAGTTATCTTCAGTTCAGCGCCCTTATGAGGGTGCGAGGAAATCAAAGACAAAAGCAGTTGATGCTTCATGTGAACTGCCCGATAGTGATAAACTTGCGATACATGTATATCTTTGTAATGTATTACTCACATCAAATGTCGTAGCGGCTGAAACATGAGGCGGCCTGGTGCAGCACATTCAGTTGCCTAAGAACATCATAAACGAGAGATTCAGCTGGGTTCCAGGTGAGTCTCTCGAAAGAACCAAATTAGTTTGCAAATGAGTGTATATTTGCTAATTTCCTGCAATTTGGTTTCAAGTAGAACATAAGGTTGACGGAAACCCGGGGACTGCGCCTACCTGATGATCCCCAAGAAGGGCGAAACCGGTCGTGGGCTGTCGATGGATTTTCAGCGACCTTATGAGTAGTACATTACAAAGTTAAACAATTACCACTTACGATTTCGGAAAACGGAAGGATTTATTGCTTTTAGAATTCAGGTTATCAAAGATCGGCCTTAAACTCAACTGAGGGTGATATGATTGGTCATTAGTAGTTGGGTACAGGACACCCTCTCGGTGCCTAACTGCCATGCCACCCGGAGAAAGCAAAAGGGCTGTGATACACTGCTAGGTTGCCCAGTGGAAGTTGAGAGGCAGACGTCGGATTCGAACCACGGACCTTCCTCATGAAATACATTATGACTATCATATGGCTCAAAGGATGTTGCAACGGTCGCGTACAATTGTTTTCAGCCAAATCCATAGTTATAGGTTGGTAGGTTTTCCACCCATCTAGTGAAACGTCAGCACAAGAAGGAATGTCAGACCAATTCGTGCTTCAACTTTTGATAACTGCGAACCATATGGTTTGTCACGGAAATTACTTTGTCGGCAGGTGCTGCGTGGGCAATGCCACCCTAATCCATTGTGCGTTTTATTGCACTGCCAAAGCGTTCAAGGCATGTGCCCAAAAACCAAAGTGTCACATCAGCCACAATAACGGTGTTGGCTTGAATGTGAAGGTATCTTGAACTTCGACTGATACATTCATTTGCATAATAATTTTGTTTTCTAATAGAAACTCAGCCGGAACCCAGCTACATCCCTTATTTATGATGTTTGCCTCCACGAGTTAACGGAAACTATGTCTACCTGATGGGCTCCAAGAAGAGCGAAACTTGTCGTGGGTTGTCGAAGCGTTTTCAGCAGCCTTATGAGTAGTGTACTACGTCCACGCAGTGTCTCAACTATCCTCACCTAAATGATTTTTAATTTATCCTTGCTTAATTGAAAGCATTCTGCATACGCCATGCACTTGCGTTGGGAAAGCAAGTAGTATCTTTGCTGATCATCCATTTCGATCAGCTGTACAACCTCTGAGTCCTTTATAACCAAACCTAAGGTTTCGCGTATTTACGGTCCTGGGACTTCAGTTGAACAGAATCGGAAAAATACTACAGACTACTGAATATCAGTAGCTGCATTTCATGACACCTCATTTTCATCATGAAGAGTCATACAGTGACTTTGGGTTTCCTTGACAACCCCGGATGATACTGACAAAGCATTCACCACAATTTTGAAGCTGCACATTCGTCTGATGCACGGAATACGAGCAGGGTGTCAAGACTGAGCAGTATTTTGCTCACAACTTGTATATGTGTTAGCTACTCATTGAGTCGGACGATAGTCTTCTCGAGATTGATTAATCAATAACACCTCCACCGACGTGCGCTTAACTGTTGGTGCCAGGACAATTTTCGAACACCAAAAACTTACGGAGAATGGGTACCGGAAAAAATGGTGTTACGTCGGTTTGGGACACGTAGAGACAGTTCTTTTAATAACGATTTTTCCAGCGATAATACAGTCCTTATTTTGCTCACCAAGTCAACTTTACCTGGGGACGCTAGTCGTGCGTGAATTTTTTTCACGGAAATTGAATTCGGCAGAATCATCGCTGGTGGAGACAGTGAACAGTATATGGCTGAAGGCATCAGAATATGAAGTGATCGAAGACCCAGTCGTCATTGCTAGTTGTTGATCAACGCAAGTGAATAAGCAAAGCCAGGCAGCTCAAATTGTCAAAGCGTGCCTAAATGGTGCTGAGAGTCAGCTGAATAGCCTCACACTAACCCTTGAACCTTCTGCCAAACAACGAAACAAGTTTACACGTTTTAGGTAAACGCATTGGTCGCGCCTTCCGATAAAAGTTTTCAACCCACTGCGAACACGGCGAGACAGGTCGGATGTAGTGTACAACCTCGATAAGCAGACTTACCAGTGTGATTCGTGAACATCAGTAACATATGAATTACAAAAGTACATATCTAGTGCCACAGTTAGTAGCGGGCAAGAAAAAGGATACAGTGTTTTCCTGGAAATAGGACCCGATTACTGAGCATTTCTGCCAAAATGCAACCGATGGACCAGAGGTCGATGGCTTTCGTGTATATTTTTGAGGTGAGCATAATTTCCGGTGCTCGATACCACCGAGTAGCCACATACTCGGTCAAAATTCCCGACTGATCGCAATTGGGATCTGCAATACGCGCCAAGCCAAAGTCACAAATCTGAGGCAAAAAGATGACAGAAATTACCTCAATCGATCTATGTGTAGAGGTGTACAAAAGCGAAAACTCACAGAATACCAACACATGTTCAATTTTTCAAATAAAAAAATTGAAGTTATATTATTCAGAAATACCTAAAAAGCCATTCGTTGAGCATGTCGGTTTCTAAATTATGCGAACGAATACTACAAGACCAATATTATCCTCTTGTCATATCCTTTTAGCACGCCACCATGTTAAGGAGACTACTGCATTGGCACTCACTACCACCCAGGAAAGTCTACTGCGAACGACAACACAGGGTGATAAGTTTCTGTGAGTGAACCATTCCGTACCTTTTGCTATGACAAAAGGTGACAAACAAAAAATGAAATGGCCTTGACGGTGTTTTAAGTGATTTCACGAATCCAACCAACGATTATAGTGGAGTCTCAGCTGTCGTAGAAGGCCATATAAAATCGTTCACCTGCAACACCCCTTCGGTGCCTAGCTGCCATATCACTCAAAATAAGCAAGAGGGTTGGAATACTGCCAGGTTCCTTAAGCCTTGACAGAAATCGAGATGCAGGGATCGAGTTCGAAGGATGGACCTTTTGCGTTCTAACCACTGAATCATCTCGCGTCCCGTGGAAACGCTGACAGAAGTTGTCCGCTAATCGCATAGAGTAACCAGCTCTACGACAACCAGTGCCCAGGTTGTCTCAGTGGTAAATTGTTTGCTTTAATTACAGTTTCGATAGAGCTGTAGGGGTACAAACTTACATCTATGGTCTTTCGTAAAGAGGAGGGGATAAGTGCACTTTCGTCGTACAAGCACGAATTCAAGAGTTGTCTGAATTGGATCACACAGTACATGTCTTGGACATACTTTCAATCTGAAGAGACACTGTGTATGGACCAGATTGACGGACCGGGCGTACGAGAGATACTCACCTAAGGTTCTATGTGCATTTGCTATAAGAATCCTGTCCGAAGTAACCCAAAATGTGTGCATTTGCTACAAGAATCCTGTCCGAAGTAACCCAAAATACGGTGGCCTATAAGATGCACCGGGTGTATTCGGCCGGCATTCATTGTGTCCAGTTGTGGAAGAACACAGTGTAAGACCACAAAAGGTCGATCAGCTGAACGTACATCGTAGACAGCAATAATAGTTGTAAGAAACACCAAGCTTCTAAAGACATTCAAACTTAGTTGCAACTCAGTGGCGAATATCTGGCTGCATGACTATCACGCAAAGCTACGGAGTTCAAAGGTCGTAGTGTTAAGCACAGTAGGGAAATCCATAAGGGAAATACTTATCAGAAGCAAGCTTGGATGGTAAATGAAGCTTAAAACCGCAAATTTTATGAGATCAACAGCACGAGAATCAGGTCAGACTTGTGGGCCACGTTGCTTGGGCAACTGCAAACTAAAAACAAGTACCGCGTAGGATAGCAGGGCAACAAAGAATATAGAAGAGCGCTAGCAGATGAGAGGATAAAGAAACATAAGTGAAAGCGTCAGCTTGCGGGATTAAGTGGCTGAAATTGTGGACAAAGAAGAGCGCAAACGGCTACTACGAACTGCCATTTTAAAAGAGGTATCTGGTCATTGATGAGGGTTATCGGCTGACATCCAGCTAGGCAAGCGAAATTTACCAACCTTATTAAGTGATCCGGTCGGTTTCTATTGGGCGGAACCAAGAGGTCAATTGCGGAATTCTCTTGCAGAATGAGATTCAATACCGGAAGTTTGCCAAAACATGAAATTAACCACAACTGAGTTATCTCAGAAGTATCTTTACGATTTTACCACTTCAGTAGGCCTGCTAACCGGTGCCCACAGCGCTTTTGTTTGAACCATACCTTTTTGCTGGTTGGGGAACGAGATGCCTCGAAGTGCCCCGACGAGTCAGACTCTTCTCTTTTTCCATTGGTTCTTTTTTCACCGAATGCTTGACTCGAGTAAATTTTGCTTGCATGACAGTCGGTCATCAGCGTAGAATACTGGTAATGTCGGCAATGATGAAGCCCAATCCATCCAAAACTTCTCTATCATATTGGACGCACGATACAAGGGCAGCTCAAACACCATAACGGGACGTCCACGTGACTCTCAAACATAAGTGAATACAGAGGGGTAATTTCGACCACGCATTTCGGTGCCGTGCCCTCAGATGCTTTTCATATATTACCACCATAGAGTAACCACAAATTGACCACGTTCATAGGTGAGACCACTGTCACTGAAAATGCAAAAGTGCACTAAATTCCCGCTTTTAGATGTTCCCTAGGATGGTTGTTTGAGCGCTAGAAACTTTTTGGAGAATTCATGTACGCGTTCGTGTTGAATACGTTGATATGAAAATCGGAAGAAGGAACGACTCGTCATCCTAAGGCGAAAAAAACCGCGTACGGAGAGAAGACTGGAGAATTTTTTGGTATTAATAAAACAAGACAGACGACAGGCCAATCAGTCAGTTAGTATATCAGCTAAAAACTATGTATTGAGGGTACCTTGGTTTGATCTGCTACAGTTTCGGTTCAGCGTGGGGATATAGCCAAGGACTAGAGGCGATGGCAAGTAAACCAATCTCATCACTTCCTGAACGATGAAGTTGGTCTATTGGCCCGGTAGAACTTGAAGGCACACGGCTGGTAATTTCAACTGCAACCAAGTAGCCGCATTTGCTATAAACTAGGTACAAGCCCCACAGCTTATCAACGAAGAAAACGAACAGAACTGCAACTGGATTTATGTGATGAGGGCGTAATGGAGAGGCCGCCATCAAAGTTGGCGAGAACACGAATGCTGAACAATAATGCACCATTCCCGTAAAGCAAACTCGATTTAGTTGAGGCTCTTCCTGCCTGTAGAATAGAATGAGTGAGGCTAGAGTTCTGAAGCCAACATACCAAAAGGTCTACGCTTCCAAACACTGGCCACATAATGCACATTCGAAATGGTAGCCATTTTACTGAATTGCCAACACCTTTTTCAGGGTCTCTGTCAAGATACGCTGCTGCTCCTTGAATTCCATCTTCAGAGGGAGGTCTTATCTACCACACACAATCTTTTTCACTCTCTTATGTCAGCTTGCGCCAGTCTTTGCTCCACATGACAATTCTCAAAAGACAACAATTCGACATACGTAGCAGATGGGTTAGCCAGCAAAGTTTGTGGTGCAGTCCCCAGATTGGTCATGAACGTGTATTGGACTGGGATGGGAATCGATAAGGAGTAGTTGTATACTGAGAGCCAAAGGACGGATGGAGATTAGTCATATACTTCACTAGCTAGTTCCAGCGCCCACATCCAGAAACGACAGCTGCCAGCTGTATCATCTTTACTGGAAATGGTTTTAATTTACCGATGCCAGGTCGTAGTGGGGTCTTTAGGCCATTTTCTGTTTCATTGACTAAACATATTGAGTGAGGA